ATCTCACCTGCTGGGACGAGGCAAGCCAATTTGGTTGGAGAACAATCAGCACCCCAGGCAGATGGGTGTTCCAGAACAAGAACACTACTCCCTGGGTTGTCATGGATGCAAATTACTAGGTGATGGGGTGTCATGTGACATTAAGTTTCTGATGTTTAAATAAATGCACTAGAGTGGTTGAGCAGTTCTTTCCTTCCATCTAGACCTCAACTTTTGTCTCTTCTTTATTTTTCCATCTTCTTTCCATTCTTCCCTTCATCACCCCACCACACTCCTGCCCCCAGGAGCTTCAAGAGCTCCACTGGTGTGTGACAAAATGTATATCATTAAAATGTATCCCAAACTATACTACATACTACTACATACTATTAAAAATACCACATTATTCTTAAAAGTCCTCATCTGGAAATTAAGTTCATATTTGAAATGGCATTTGTATTCATTTCAACTGAAATGCTTTGTATTGGTTCTGTGGTTTGAGAATCTTTCTGTAGAGAGAAGGAACACAGATCACACTGTCTCCATGTCACATTCCACCTCACTTATCTCTCTCTCTCTCTCTCTCTCTCTCTCTCTCTCTCTCTCTCTTACTCTCATGTCTGCAACACATGTTACCTGGCCAACTCTGAATAATTTAAAAGGCATGAAACTTGATCCCATTGATAAGGGTGGCTTTTAGTATTCTAAGAGAATATTGTATGTAATAGTCAAATTCTAAATCTATTATTACTTTTAATATATTGTAGAAGCCAAACCAAGCCTCTACACTTCATGTTTAGAGAATTTTCTTCCAAATAAAATTTATTTATGTGATTTGTACACTGGCTAATTTTACTTGCTTTGGTAACAGCTCAAACATCAGTTAATTTATGAAGAATAACTGAATCTATGTTACTGTAGGAATTCTTACAAAACATCTCAGCAATAGTCATACCTAACTTCTTGTTTGTTACTTATCTCTTTAATATGCCTACACTTGTAGAGAAAATGTGACACACATAAGTGCTTGACATGTATTATATGATATTGACATCAGCAGACCACCAACCAATAATTCTCCCAATATTTATAGTTAATCAAATTATTTTGGGTGAAAATTACATTGATTAAACAGAAAAAATACACTGCATAAACTATTGTCATTTCTTAACTTGACCACATGCCTCTGTGCTCAGTTTATATTTGACCATGCTTGATCATGCATCCACAAAGTTCTGTTCTTTCTGATCCTATATTTGGCAGAGTGCAATTTAAAGTTATCATTCCTTTTGGGATAGCAGAGTTTTATGAGAACAAAAGGTCAGTGGGTACTAAATTACAGTTACTTGGGAAGCTCCATTGTGCTATATTTCATAGTAGGGTGACTATAGATAACAATAGTGCACTGTACATTGCAAAGCCCATAAGAGATGATTAAGAAAGTTTTCATCACAAAGAGATGACGGCCATGTGAAATGAGTCCCAGCATGCTGGCACTGGCTTGGAGAGACCATTGCTCCCGGTGGTTAAGTGCCCACCTAGCTTCCTGAAACACTGGACTAGGCTCTGGAGGTTTTGCAGGCCTGATTGGACCACACCCAGTGAACTTCTTTCAATCAGGGAGTTGAAGGCATGTGAAGTGAGTCCCACAGTGTGGGCACTATCTCAGGGAGAGCTTTGGACAATCACCCCCAGAGCTTAGGAGCCCGCCCAGCTTCTTGGAACACCAGAGGTGGCACAGGAGGTCCTGCAGGCCTGACTAAGCCACACTTAGCAATCTCCATTCAGTCCCAGGAGCTGAGAGCATAGGAGGTGATTTTCAACACGCCCAGGGAAAGCTTTGGAACATCACTTGAAACATGGAAATATGGGAAAATGACAAGATAAAAGACCAAAATGCAATCTCAAACCTCCAGCCCACCCCTAGAAAGCTTAGGAGCCATGTATATAGAAGTAAATATAAGCCATACACCTCAAATGCCTGAAATGATAACAAGTGAAATAAAGAAGCAACTCCAAGAAGCTATAAAGAATTTCAAATCAGAAATAATCTCCCAGGTAAAAGAAGAAATGATAAAAGTAATGAAAGAAATGCTGAACACATCTAAAGAAGACACAGTTTAAAAAACAGAGGAAAAATGCAAAGAGATAGAATCCTTGAATGAACAATATAAAAAAAATAAACAAAATGCCTGAAGCAGATTGAAAGAGATATACAGCAAATTAAAAATTCCATTGAAAGTTGCAAAAACCACCTCAAGAAAAGTGAAGATAAAATTTCAGACCTCGAAGACAAGATGAGGATGGAAATTGACATACAGATTAGTGAAGCATATAGAACTGCAAATAGCCATAATCAAAATAAAACTATACCCAGACATACAGTAATCAACATCCCAGAAATCCAACATAAGAACAGAATTTTAAAAGCTGTTAGAGAGTAAAGGAAGATTACTTATAAAGGGAAACCTGTCAGTATCACAGCAGACTTCTCAACACAAACAGTGAAGTCAAGAAGAGCATGGAGTGAAATATTTCAGATCCTGGGGGCTGGGGATTTAGCTCAGCGGCATAAGCACCTGCCTTGCAAGCAGGCGGTCATGAGTTCCATCCCTGGTACCGATAAAAAAAAAAAAAAAAATTCAGATCCTAAAGGAAAATGACTCCCAGCCCAGACTGATGTACCCTGAAAAACTGTCCTTCAAATGGATGCAGAAATAAGATACTTCCGTGACAAAGAACAGCTGAAGAACTTCATGACCATGCAACCAACCCTGCAAAGAATACTGAAAGACATTCAAGATACACATAGGGAAAAACCACTAAGCAAGGCAGACAATTAAACAGAATGGAAAGTAAAGATACAACAGCAGAAAGATAACATGTGAACAATTCACCAATATATAACAGTTATCTCACCATCTTGTTTTGACTGATTTTCCTCTATTCTGTTTTGCTTGCTAGTACCAAGTTCGAAAGTATAGGCAACAACTATGAAGACAATACAATTCATTATGATGCCCATTCTGGTTGACTATTATCTTCTTTGGAAGTCCTCTAATGTCTCCAATGTTTGGGTTTTATTGGTTTTGTTCTTTACTGTCTTGTTCAATTTTATTATAACTGATGATATAGGCAATTCTTTTTAAGACAGCAAGAGGCATTATGGTAACATTGTTGAACATGTATTTTGTTTTTACATTATGTATTATGGCCATCCTTTTATTTTGACTGACTCTGTTCTGTTATGTCACATTTGGTTTTACTCTCTTCAAAAAAAAAGTAATAAGAACTGTGGGAGTAATAAAACCCAAAATGTGTAATTGTCATTGTACAAAAGAGAGAAAAAGAAAGTGCTCTAAAAGATGTAACTGCATGTATATTTAAGTGTATAAGATAGATAACCATATTACTGAGTTTTGTTGGATCATTGAACAGAACTGTTTGCTGTCTCACTGTTTGAATGTCCACTCTTTATGCTTCAATTTTGTAACTTGAACAACTATTTCTAAGATGACTATAATCTGTTAACTAGTGATTTCCTATTGTTTATTTTTTTGAAATTCTGTATAACTTGTACCCTTTTTCTGTTTTTTTCTCCTTAAATAAATTTTTAAAAAATTGATTAAAAAAAATATATATATATAACAGTTATAACCATTAATTTAAATGGCCTCAATTCACAAATTAAAAGAAACAGATGGGCAGAATAGATCAAGAAACAATGTCCAACCATATGCTCTCTACAAGAGACTTATCTAACACAAAAGGAAACTAATAGACTGAAAGTCAAAGGACAGAAAACAATACTTCATGCAACAGGAACTGAAAAAAAAAAAAGCAGGGATAGGTATTTTGTAAGCCAACAATGTGAACTTCAAACCAAGAATGATCAGAAAAGATAAAGAAGGTTATTGCATACTGGTTAGGGGAAAACTTCAAGAGGAACAGATAACAATCTTAAATATATATGTACCAAATTCCAGACCACCCAGTTATACAAAGCAAGTATTAATAGAAATGAAAAATCAAATTAACAATAGCACAATTATAACAGGAGACCTTAACACACCATTGACACTAAGGGACAGATCAACCAGACAGAAAATCAGCAAAGAAATAACAGAACTGAATTGCACCTGTGAACAAATGGATTTGATAAACACATACAAAGTGCTCCATCCAACAGTATCAGAATACACATTCTTCTTAGCAGTACATGGGACATTCTCTAAAATAGACCATATACTAGCCCACAGAACATATTTAAATAAATGCAAAAGAGTTGAAATTATCCCATGCATGTTATTGGATCATAGCGCCATGGAAATAGAAATTAATGATAAAAGAAACTGCAAAAATCCCACAAACACATGGCAATTGAATAACATACTCTTGAGCAATCAGTGGGTCACAGGGGAAATTAAAGAAGAAATTAAACAATACTTACAAGCAAACGAAAATACAGATACAACTTAATGGAATCTGTGATGCAATGAAAGCAGTTCTCAGAGGAAAATTTTTTGCACTGAGTTCTCACATCAGGAAAGCAGAACGACTACAAATAAATAATCTGATGCTACACCTCAAACATCTAGAAAAAGAAGAGCAAGTCAAGCCCAAAGCCAAAAGAAGGAAGGAAATTATAAAAATCAGAGCAGAAATTAATGCAATAGAGACTAAGAAAACAATCCAAAGAATCAATGAATCAAAGAGTTGGTTCTTTGAAAGAGTAAAGAAAATTGATAAGCTCCTAGCCAACCTTATTTTAAAAAGGGAAGAAAAAGTTCAAATTCATGCAATAAGGAATGAAAAAGGCAAAATCAATACAGACTCTGTAGAAATACAGAAGATTATCAACACCTATTTCAAAAACCTCTACTCTCATAGGTTTGATAACACAGAAGAAATTGACAGATTCTTAGAAACATATGAAGTACCAAAGCTAGGTCAAGAAGATATAAAACTGCTGAATAACCCACTTTCTATTAATGAAATTGAAAATGTAATTAAGTTCTTACCCACAAAGAAGAGCTCAGGTCCCGACAGATTCACTGTGGAATTCTACAAGAAATAAAAGAAGACAATGTCAACACTCCTCAAACTCTTTAATGAAATCAAAAGGGAAGCAATCCTTCCTAAGTCATTCCTGGAAGCAAATATTACTCTAGTACCAAAATCTGAGAAAGACCGAACTAAAAAAGAGAACTGCAGGCCAATCTCCCTAATGAACACAAATGCAAAAATCTGCAATAAAATATTGGCATATAGGATGCAGCAAATCAAAAGAAGATTATACACCATAACCAAGTGGGATTCATCCCAGGCATGCAGGGATGGCTCAACATATGTAAATCAATAAATGCAATCCACCATATCAATAAAGCCAAAAGTAGGAATCACATGATCATTTCTATAGATGCAGAAAAAGCTTTTGATAAAGTCCAACATTCATTTATGATAAGAACCTTACATAAAATTGGAATAGATGGTCTTCACCTCAATACGATAAAGGCCATCTATGACAAACCAACAGCCAGTATCATACTAAATAGACAAAAATTGAAGGCCTTTACCTTAAAATCAGGCACAAGACAAGGGTGTCCCTTATCATTGCTCCTATTCAATATATTACTGGAAATACTAGCCAGAGCAATTAGACAAAAGAGAGAGAAATAAAAGGGGTAAAGATAGGAAAAGAGGAAGCTAAATTATCATTGTTTCCAGGTGACATGATACTCTACATAGAAGGCCCCCAAAACTCCGTTGAAAGTCTCCTAGATATAATAAATAAATTTGGCAATGTACTGGATACAAAATCAATACTCAAAGATCAATAGCATTTCTATACAATAACCTCAAATTCACAGAGAGAAAAATAAGAGAAGCCACACCCTTCATACTAGCATCCAAAAAAATGAAATACTTAGGAATTAATCTCACAAAAGATGTGAAAGTCTATTTAGGGAAAATGATAATATATTGAAAAAAGAAATTGAAGTGGAACTCAGAAAATGGAAAGACATCCCTTGCTCATGGATAGGAAGAATAAATATTGTGAAAATAGCCATTCTCCCAAAACTTTTATACAGATTCAATGCAATCCCAATAAAAATACCATCAACATACCTCATAAATCTAGAGAAATCACTCCTAAAATTAATCTGGAACCAGAAGAAGCCTAGAGTAGCAAAGACAGGTCTAAGCAGCAAAGGCAAGGCAGGAGGCATCACAATCCCTGACTTGAAGTTATACTACAAAGCAACTGTAGTAAAATCAACATGGTACTGGAATAAAAACAGAGCCAAAGATCAATGGAATAGATTAGAAGATACAATCATAACTACAAACACACTCAACCACCTGATCTTTGATAAAGGGGCCAAACATGTTGATTGGAAGAACAACACTCACTTTAATAAATGGTGTTGGAAAAACTGGCTCTCCATATGCCAAAAACTAAAACTAGACCCATGCCTATCACCATGTACTAAATTAACATCTAAATGGATCAAAGATCTGAATATTATAAAGGAAAAAGACAAAAAAAAAAAAAAACTCCCAGAAATACTAAATCTCTTGAAGACAAAGTGGGTAAAAACCTTGAAGACATAGGGATAGGCAGAGAATTCATGAACAGGAACCAAACCACACAGGAAAAACTCCCCAGAATCAATAACTGGGGTCATGTCTTATTAAAAAGTTTCTGCATGTCAAAAGAAATCTCCAGTATAGTAAAAAGAAAACACACAAACTGGGAAAAAATCTTAGTGAACTGTTCCTCACACAAAGGACTTCTTTCTAAAACATATAAAGAATTAAAAAAAAAAACCAGACCCCTAAAATTCAAAGATCCAATCCAAAAATGGGCATCTGAGATGAATACACAGTTCTCACATGAAGAAATACAAATGGCAAATAAATACATGAAAAAATCTTCATCATCATTATTCATTAGAGAAATGCAAATTAAAACCACACAGAGATTCCATCTCACTCCTGAAAGAATGACCAGGATCAAGAAAACCACCACCAACAAAAGCTGGAGAGGCTGTGGGAAAAAAGCACCTCTCCTGCACTGTTGGTGGGAGTGTAGACTGGTGCAACCACTGTGGAGGTCAGTCTGGAGATTTCTCAAAAATCTGGAATTGGAAGTTCATTTGTTCTAGCTATTCCACTTCTAGGCACATTCCCAGAAGAACTACAAACATCATACGATAGTGATATATGTGCGCCAATGTTTATAACGACACAATTCATAATAGCCGGATCTTGGAAACTACCTAAGTGTCTATGAACTGAGGAATGGATAAAAAAATGTATGATACTTTTATACAATGAAGTACTACTCAACTATAAAGAATGATCACATTGAGATATTTATAAATAAATGGATACAACTTGAGACCATACACATAAGTGATCGAAATGAAACTCACATGTATAAATACCGTATAGTCTCCCTAATGTGAGAAATTGTAAGAGTATACAAAATTTTATGGTCATCATGATTCCCCATTACATTGCTTTGAAGCAATGTAATGTTTTTACTGATTGTAATGTAATGTTTTTACTGATTAGATGGAATGGTTTTATTGTTTTGTTTGATCTTATTATGTTTGATGATATGAACAGCTATTTTGAAGAAAACAAGACATTATGGAAGCCATTTCTGATTTAATATTATCTTGCTTTGAGGTCCTACCATGCTGTTGTTCTTCCATTTCCATTGGTTCTATCATGTTGTGTCTTACTGGATATAAATATGTGATAATATAAGTAATTTTTTATGTAAAATGAGACATTATAGTAGCCAGTGTTCATTTTCTGTTATCTGGTTCTGAATGCCCTGTAATACTTTCATTCTCTTGAATGGTTTTATATTATTTTGCTATGTTTGATATTATTGTATGTGAATGTATGCTCAACTACTTTAAAGAAAGAGACATTATGGTAGCTACTATTAATATCCGGTTGTCTTATTATGAAGTGCTATGCTGCTTATATTGTTTTGTTCTGATCTGCTTTGTTCTGTCCTCTTTTGTTTTATTCTCTTTAAAATGAGGAAAAAAAACAGAGATAAATATCTGATGAGACAGACATATCTGAACTAATCATTAAATAATGAATTATATATGTATCACAACATCAAACAGTATTTGTCATAGGTATAATTTTTATGTTTTTATGTACCAGTCCAAGATAAATTTAAGAGCTGGGGATGCAGCTCAATGGTAGAGCATTTGTATGAAGTCCTGGATTTGATTCCAGGATGTTAAAACATAGGAAAATGCATACATTTAATTTTTTAAAAATTACCATGTAAGAGTCATTTAAAATGATAAAATAGTTCATAGTAGCTTATTATATGAAATAAAAATGATAAAATCTCCTTTAAATGATAAAATAGTGTATAATAGCTTATTATATGAAATCAACTTATTTCCATGATTTTAAAAAGTGTCTTTAACTGATAACATGGTGATATCTTTATGTTTATGGTACATTTTGTTAATCTCATACTTGTGACTGAGGGAGTGAAGTACTTTTCTGACTTATTTAAATAAAAAGGTTTCTATACTGCCTTGTATCAAAATTAGGATCTCTGTAGTCAGTATTTTCTGAGGTTCTGTTCAACAAAAATCTTTGGAAATTAAAGGGAGACTGGAGAGCTATAATTTTGTTTGAATTTTCCCAGATTAAAAGAAGGACAGCATTCTAAGCAAACTATCTCCTGGCCAAAGTTTAGTAGCAGTCTATGCAAAAAATGTCTTTTTCAAGTCTACAAAATGACAGAAAAGGCTTTTTATAAGAAATAAACTATTTTCATTAAAAATAATTTTTACTCATCTTACCCTGGTTTCAGTATTTTCAAGCATCTTGATCTGCAAACCTATTTCTTTAAATTCTTTTTTAAAACAGTCTAACTGACCTAGAATGATAATTAAATAGTTTTCCATCATAGCTGTAGATCTATTAAATGTCAAAGGCAGGCAAAGAATGGATAGATAAAATGACATTGGCAAATTCTTTTATTTAAAACACACCCAGCAAAGAAAGACATTGTCTTTTATCTTTGAATATTTATATCCTCAACATAAAATGAAGTCATGAGGATGTGCCCATCTGTTTATTTTTTAAATCCATAGTGTCAACAATTTAGAAGTTTCCAGTAAAAGCTAGAAGTGAAGGCATTCTTGTGGGATGTAGTCAAATGAAGAAACTCAGCCCAAATCTTGGAAACAAACAAAATTTTTGGCTTTTCTTCCAGGAGAGTTTGAATCACTGAAATGCATTTAATTTATATAACTCACAAACACGTTGTCAACTGATACACATACATATAGTTAAGTTGTAAGGAAAACACCAAATAGATGCTGTGTGGTCTGATGGCTGTGAAACATTTGGTAACATAAAGCCCAACTGAGAAGCTGCTGGGGCTCACTCTGGAGAGGTTACCAGCGTGGAAAGGGAATGCTGAGATTGTGAAACACCATCCTCATCTGAATATTATTTACTGGATTAGGTTATGAAAATACTAGGAAACATCAAAGTATGTTTGATCTCTCTTTGCCTCCTTAATCCCACTTGGTCCCTAGAAACTTAATTTCTGTAACTGTCTCATCATGGCTCCTATACCAGCTTCTTTCTAGGATCACCCAAAGAGCCTAGCAGACTGGGATTGGAAGATAAACAGAAACTTCATCTCCTCGCCTCTCCTTCAGTTCACGAGCATCTCATCCCTGGTGCTTTTTCCTACTAGAAAGCCACTTCTTTTCGATTCTAATTCTCAGTGAATGTTGTTAACAACGTTTCTTTCCCAGGTCACTTTAGTTATGGGTAGAAATGACTTTTCACAGCAGCTGGTCTCTGGATACTACACCATCCACGCCTTCCTACTTTTGCAATTCCTGTATTTTGGCAGTTACTTTAACGATTTTTCATTAGAACCATCTGGACTGAATTCTGTGTCCCATCAAGACTTCAAACAATAAAAAATAATTGCATTATTTAGAGATATCCATAAGCAGAAGAATGAAACTGGATTGTTATCTCATACTATATACAAAAATGAACTCAAACTGGATTAAAGACTTAAAAGTAAGACCTGAAACCTCAAAGCTACTTTGAAAAAAACATAGTGAGAAAAGGCCACAGCACTGGTCACAAGAGTACAGACAAAAGCCAAAAGACAAGTGAGATTATGTCAAGCTAAGCCTCTGCTCAGTGAGAGAATCAACAGAGTACAGAGACAATTCAAAAAATAGCCTTCGTATCTCAGTATTCTAAATCCACACATTCAAGCAATTACAATTAGGAAATGTTTTTTTTAAATGTCATGTATACTGAACATGTATAAATATGTTTGCTATCACTCCTTAAACAATGGAGTATGAATTAGATTACAGTATTAAAAATCTAGAAAAGACTTGAGGCATAGGGACCATACGCATAATTATACACTATGCCATTTCACGCAAGGAACTTCATCACCTACAGATTTTAATACTAAAAATAATATCTTGCCAACATGGAAGACCCACTATATTTACAGACCATACACTTTGTAAGAAGATAATATTCAAAATATACTAGAAACTCAAAAGTTCAGTATAAAAATTTTCTAAAAGCACTATTAAAACAAAAGCAAAATATCTTGCTGTGTACTAAATCCTCCTGCAATTTTATGTGGTGAAAATTAATCGTTGATGGGATAGTATTATGAGGTTGTGCCTTTACGGGTGATTGAGTTACGAAGCCTCCTTCCAAACAAAAGACACTAAAATCTTTGCAAAGGAGGCTTCCTAGAGCCCTTGGTTCTTTATGCTTTTTCCATGCACCATGGGAGAACACCGCACTATCTCGGAAATCAAGATCAGCCTTCATCCAACACTAAACCTTCCAGCACCAGGATCTCGGGTGTCCCAGCATCCGGAAGCGTGATAAATACGTTTCTACTACTTAGCATCAATTGCTCAGTCTGTAGCATTTTATTATGGTAGCATAAATGCACAAAGTAAACACTTCAAAGTCATCTCTCAAAGAAAGAAAAAACCCAAAAATCCCAACAGATAAATGAAAAATAATATTCAATCTCTAATCAATAGAGAAGTATAAATAAAACCACAATGATATATCATTTAACATCTATTATATTGGTTGTCATCAAGGTGATGAATGGTACTAAAGTTGTATATGACATGATGAAAAGAGACCTTGAGTATACCAGTGGTAGGGATGCAAACAGTAGGGACAACAGTAATGGAAAACAGTAGGGAGCGTTTTCAACAAACTCAAATAGACTTATGTGATCCAACAAGGCTGATTCTGGGTAATATACATATAAAAAGTTGAAGCATATATCAAGGAGAGGTATGTGTTCCTGTGTTTCATTTCAGCCCTACATTAGATGATAGCTACTGCATAGTTGTATACAAGAGAATTCTTTCCTTTGAGCCAATTTGGATAGCCTGGAAGATATTACACTATTTGAAACAAGCTAGGCATAAAAGACATATTTTACTATCTCCCTTATGTATATTATATAAAAATAGTGAATATTACATCATCATGGAAATAAAAAGCCAAGCCACAAATGGGTATCACCTCACTCCAATAGAGTGGCTATTATCATAAAGACAATAGGTAAGTGACAGAAAGGATGTAGAGAAAAGGGGACTTTGCATGTTGTTGGTAGAACTATATTTTAATACATACACCATGGGAGAGATACGGTGACTCTGTACAAAAATTAGAAACAAAGTTATCAACAATCCCTGTACGGCTGTACATCCAAAAGAGGAATCAAATAAGCCTGCTGAGGACACAGCTGCATTTGGATCTTTGGTGAAGTACTCTGCATGTAGCCACAAAATGGAGAAAACCTCAGTGTCCATCATCTCATGCATGCACACAGAAAATGTGGTGCACAGGGAACAAAGTACCCTGTATCTTTGTTCAAAATGAGTAAATCCTATTATTCATGAAAAAATAGATGAACTGAAAGAAGATGAGGTTCAGTGAAATAAGCAATGCATAGGAGACAAGCACCACATGGCCACACTCAGACATCGTGCGCGTTAATCTTAACTATCAACCTGACTGGACTGAGAGATGACTGCACCACGACAGTGGATTCCTTCGCTCACTAACCCTGCTGCGAGAGGTGGGATTCAGTTGGAAATGGCAGGTGACTGGGGGTGCGCCTTTGGAGGGTTTGTCTCGCGCAGCTGCTTTTCTTCTATGATTTGTCTCCTGGACACCATGAGCTGCGCCCACGACACCTTTCTGTCACGATGTCCCTGCCTTGAGGCCAAGCAAACATAAGATGAAACCCCTGCGACTGTGCGACCAATTAAACTTCTCCTCCTTTAATTTATAAATGCCAGATATTTTTCTCCAGGGAGAGGAAAACTGCCAAATATATATGTAAAATCTGAATAAAAGGTTTGGAGAAAAATAAAGAGGGTAATTTTTTAGAAGTGTTTTGGTTGCATTGTTTAAGTGATGTTGGTCAGCAGTAGTTATGAGAAGGAGTCATGTTGTTAAAACTAATAGGGGTCGCTGATGTCATACAAGCAGAGAGTCAAATGCTCATTAGTTTTATATACAAAAGCTAGAAGCAAGGATCCTAAATGTTTCTACTAAATGGAAAGGATAATAATCAAGGAGACATATATATGTGTGTTGAATCAACACATTGTGCTCATAACGATGCTAATTTTTGAAATGGCTAAAAATAAAAATAAGAAGTACTTGGCAAAAAGGAATTTATAATTACTTGTGCACATTTTAAGATGTATAATGTGGGCAAAATAAATAAGAAGTTCGAATCCATAAAATTTATTTATTTGTTTGTTAATTTTTTTTTTTTTTACTGGGAATAATTTTTTACTGGGAATCAAACTCACGACCTTGTGCTGCCAAGGCAGGCACTCACACGTTAAGCTAAACACCCAGGCGTCACAAAATTTTTTGATCAATTGTAATGTGTTTGCTGCATGTCTGTGACATAGGTGCTAACATTGCCTTCATTTTAAAGTGTAGAAACAGATACTGAGAAGGCTAAACCACTACCTAAGGTCACATAGATATAAAATAACAAACGAAAAATTTATATTCATCCAGACTGGGTCCTGAGGCTATATCTATGATCACTAAAAGAAATAACAGTGAGTTCCTACTATGTGTCAGGAGTTGCACTGTGTGTCTCACATGGGAAAGCTCCTTTATTGCCCTTTGACAGCACTTGACACTGATTCCCATTTGTACTTTAGAAACACTTTCCCTTCTGGGTTTCCATGATATCGCATGTACCTCTGGTCTTCTGCTTTATTTCAGATCATTTTCCGCTGCTGACTCACGTCTGTTCAACCTCGAAAAGTTTGACCTTTTGATTTCCTTCTTGCTTTCTGGTTAAGCTCACTCAATCAAGAGGCTTTAAAATACCAAGTAGAAGCCAGTGATTCAGGTATTTTTATTATTACTATTTCTGATTTGTCCCTTTTCCTAATCAGCAGCCCTGTATGCTCAGAAGTCTCCTTGACAGCTCATAGTGGGTATCTGGTAAGTATCTCACATTTAACAAGTCCAGAGAGAATGCTTCATTTTTTCCTCAATCTGATTTTCTCACTGTCATTTCTATTTCACAAAATGGAAGATTTATTTTAATGATTTCAGCTAAATAAAAAATATTCACAGTATTCAAGATTTCACTCTTCCAATATCAAATCTCTAATAACTTTGTCAACTACATCTCGTACATATTGCCAACTATTCGAGTCTCTCCCTAGTCATCACCATCATCTTTTGCCGCAGTCACTGTGACGGAGTGCCCTTCCAGTCTTCTTCAAGATTTTTATACTCTTGGCAGCCAAAAAGATTATTTTAAACATGTCATACCACTTTACTATTTTATCACTTTCCACATAAAATGCATTTTGAACTCCTCCTTGCATGGGATCAAAACCTTTCCTAAACTGATCTCTGTTAAATAAGTAATTCCGTAGTAGGAACATTTGTATAGCAGCTATATTTTATCAATATGGAAATGGAGAAAAGGGGGTGATGTTATATTCTCCTTTAAATCAGGGGGGCTAGTAAAACAATTTTTCAGGGGCCTTCACTAATGTAATACGTAATAAACAGGCAAAAAATATCAGAACTACTTACAAACAGTTGGGCAATATTATGGTGAACATGAAGGTGTTGTCATCAGACTTTGATATTTGAGAGACATTGATCAAAGAGTGACCTCCTTCAAAATGAATGTTGCTCAGTGAGAAAGGTTGACCAGAGATCAGATCTGCATGTTCAAAATCTACAGGCTTAACCACATGGCTAAATATTTTTTCAAGTGATAGTACATAGCATTTCTTATTGCATTGAGTTACACATGAGTGAGTTTCTTGTTTTTTAAAGACTGTAAACTTCATTGCCATGGCTAAATATTTTACAGACTGTATTTGGAGATAGAAGGTATAGATAACCATTTTGTTCAAAGCCTGGTAAGTGACCTGTGTCTCTTTGGCTTGTTTCTAGCTACTAAGGATATTTCAGCTATGAAACACGAGGAAGAATGACACTGTTATCTAGAGGAATCTCACTGAAGTAAGAAGCTTTTTATCAACATCTTAAATTTGAGCCTGTTATGGCTTCTGAGTAGGTAATTTGTAATTAAAAATTTTATTAACAAAGAGATGTAATTTATGCATATTATGATCCATATACCTGTTACAAGGGAAAATGGCTTCATATCCAACAGTTGTGATTCACATTGGGAAGAAACAACACAAAAATATTATGCTAACACATAACAGTGATAGCCTGTAAATAAGGGTCCATCTTGTTCATGCTGAAAAAAAAAAAGCGATTTCCGGTTTGAACAACAGGGTTCAAATTTGCCAGAATTTAGTATACAATTTGCTGTTTGACAATGGTGAGTGCATTAGCATAAAGCTCCCACTTAGTCTGGCAGAACTATTTCTTTTTCACGCTCAGATAAATCACAAAGGAAACAAATGATCATGTTTATTCCAAAACCATGAACTGTTTTCTTTTCTTTCCCATCCAGTAAACCTCCTACTAATAGAAACTACTAGTAACAAGCTTGGAAATTTGACTCTTAAAGCAATTCAACTTGAAAATTAGGTTCAGTGTTAACTCTGCTTTTTATTCCACTTCTCCAACGAGAGTCCTTTACTTAATTTTATGGGAATTATCTTTTCTGTAACTGATAAATTCATAAAAATTCCCAGGAATTCTTAAATCTCTTGTTTAACAATGATATCATCATATGATAACTGGTATGTTGACTATTGTGAGATATGTCAGGTATGGCTGTATTTTGTGAAAATCATTTTTTACAATCACAGCCAAAGTTTGGCTATTTTGTCTTATGTACTAAGTATGCAAGACATTTTACCTTTATCTTGCTTCTCTCCATTTACTCAAAATTTCTTTAGTGGTATATACTATATCCAATAATGACTCAAATTTTTATTAATCATGGATAATTTCTCCTTTCTTTCTCTCATAAACACTGAAATAAATTTGAGAACACAGAGTAATGACAGATTTGGATGTAGACCAGCCCTGATTAGAGATCTGAAAATTATTGGGCTTCCTATCACATAGATTCTTTTTCCAGAAAGTACACACAGCTGAAAACACCTTTAAAGCAAAGCTACCCTCTGTGTGACTCTCTGAACATGACTTATTTCTTTATAACTTTATAACTTTATAAAATGTTACTTGATCTTACCAACATATTCATAAGAAATGGGGTGAAACTACTAAGAAGCTTTACTTTGATAACTCAAATGTCTTTCTTAGATTGCTTATTTGTCTTCTCTTAGGATGTGTAGAGTAAGAGGAAATAAAAAAGCTTTGGTATGTAGTTGTCAGTGATTGAAAAGGAAAAGATTTTTTAAAAAATGGCAAGGGCGTAACCTGGAAAAACCAGCAGGGGTGAAGCAAACTAAGCAGAGCTGAGCGTTTGTAAAGGACTCTCTCTTTCCGTTACCAAGTCAACTGGTCAGCTGGTCAGCCGGTCCTTTTCTAAACCAGCCCTTATTTTGCATTGTTCTTGGAGTTTATCTTTGGGTGGGCATAGCCTAGTTTTGCCAGGAATCTCCTAAGTCAACTTAATAAAATTTCCCCCAACCTTGTTGTGCGATCAATATATTACTGACAAGTAAAAAATGATTGCTGTAGGCAATTATTTTTTTGTGTCAGACCTCAAAAGCACAGGTAGCATAACTAAAACTCATAAAGAAGCAATCAAGAGAGAAAGGAGAGAACTTGTAGAGTGGAAGAAAACGGCTGGAAATTATCTGATGAGGGAGTCATATTCAGAACTCAGACGGTGACCGCAAAAGTTTTATAGACGAAGTGCACAAACTGCCACCCAAAATCTGCTTACTTATCCCAGAGTGACAACACTGCAATTATACATGAATAGTGAGGTTTTAGCTTTTAAGAATTCATATGCTTGGTTCATATGGTGACAGAGAGGGCTCTGTGTGCTCACTATGGCACACATGGCATAAGCTTGCCACCTCTGCCATAGAAACTTAAAAGGCTCAGTGGGACAAATTCTATATTAATAAAAGTAAACCAATGATTTAAATTGGGTTTTGTTTAATTTGCAAAGTGATATACATGAATAGCCAGTAAGTACATGAAAAAATGCTCAACACCACTGATTATCAGGCATATGCAAATCAAAATGATAGTTGCATACCAGTTATATCTAATTAGAATGGTTATTTTCAAAAACACAAAAATAAATGCTGGAGAAGATTTGGAGACAGAGAAATTCTTATATATTGGTAATAGGAATTTAAATTTGTACAGATATTATAAAAAACAGGGTGGAGGTTTTTCAAAAAATTAAAAATGCAGCCCCACATGATTCAGCTATCCCACTACTAAGTATATACCAAGAGAATTGAAATTGGTATGTTGAAAAACACCCAGATTTGCGTGTTTATTATAAGACTATTCACAGTAACCAAGATATGCAATGAACCACAATTTCCATACATGGATGAATGAACAATGTCATAAGGAAATACGACAACATGAGTAGTATTAACTGATGGCCATATTAAGTGAAATAACCAATTGCAGAAGAACAAATGTTGCCTATGTAGAAGTCATAAAAGTTGATTAATAAAATCAGAGAGTAGTAGAATAGTGTTTATTAGATGACAGGAGGGAGAGGGGGATCAGAGAGGTTGGAAAACAGGTACCAATACACAGTTAAAAAGGGTTAGCGTTAAGGTTAGTATTATAAAGCTCAGTTGGGTAACAGTAGTTTTTGATAGTTTATTACATATTTTACAAACAAGTAGAAGAGTTAAATGATCCCAACACAAGGAAATGATAAACCTCTAAGACAGAAGTGCTAAGTAGCCTATTTGCTAATTATACATGTATAACTATATCAAAATACTAAAATATATCCTATAGAGTTATATAATTACCATACATCAGCCAAAAGTTTAAAAATAATCTGTGAAAATACAAATGAACGAATGAGTGAATGAACGAAGGTGAGAAGGTGGAAGAAGATCTAATGAGGAAAGAAAGGTCTGTCTGTGTTCCTCAGGGCAGGAGGTAGGGAGCGCCCACTACGTCTGTGGCACAGATAAATGGAAACTTACCAGCTCCCCTAAATGAGTGTGCTTTTACTCCAGACTTTGCCTCTGCTCAGGTCTGTGTACTGTGTTTTCCAGTTGGTTATTCATTGGTCTTTAGTATTTATTCTGGAAATTTATTTTACCATGTTCTTTATTTATGTGACTCTTGCCAGTTTTTGAAAATCATTTCTATTCTTGTGATGCAACCCCTTCCCAGCAGTCTTTAACAAGTCTGTTAGGACTTACCAAAATTCCAACTGAGGTCATCCTCTTTCTTTCAAATAGTGAGTCATGAAAATAGCTCATTTGCTTTGCAAAAACATCCTTTAAATTCTATTTTTCCTTCCTTTTGGAACCCTTTCTTCCCTTTTTGCATTTCGGTGTGGACTCAGGATCTGTTCCTTCTCAACTCCTACGCAGACTTCTCTGGTCACTTCATTTCAGTAGACAGCAGATACTATCAACTCACTCCCAGGCCTTCTGTCTAATTGCTTCTCTGGATTATTCTCCCCAGGTCCTCTTTTCTTTCCAGTGGATGCTGACGATCTTTCCTCTTCTGTCTGTTTTTCTCGTCTCAAAAACAGGATCTTTAATCTCCATGATGATTGTTTTTCTTTGCCTCCTTGTGTTTCCACTTTCTGAAAAACATCTTAATTGCTCTTTCCATTCCTCTGAACAGTTTGGGTGCTTCTCAGCCTTGTGCAGATGCTGCCACTCAGTTCTTTCATCTCAGGCCTTAAATCTGACCTAGCTGGGTCTGTTTCTACCAATCTTAGTTTTGTGAAAAACTTGCTTAAATGTGTTCTTCTCCCTTACAAAATTTTGGACACCACGCATTCAGTCTTCTCCTCCTTCTCCTTCTCCTTCTCCTTCTCCTTCTCCTTCTCCTTCTCTTTCTCCTTCTCCTTCTTCCTTTTCTTATCCCCCTCCTTCTTTTTTTGTAATAGATTACATTTTTGTTCTCTATATATCTTAAAATTTTCTCAATTGCAAATTCCCTAAAGTCTTTTCCAGTATATTCTTTTTGATTCATTATCTTTAGGAAAAAAAATTATTTTGTAGCTTCCTGTCATAGTAGTATTTCATTTCAGATTGTCCTGTAATGGTCTAAATATTTGTGTCTTCCCAAAATTCATGTGTGGAAATCCTGACTCCCAAATTGATGGTTTCACAACTGAGGTCTTTGGCAACTGATTAGGTCTTGGGGCAGCACTTTCACATGTAAGCTGTTGTGGACTCCTAAAAAGATGTCCAGGAGGCCCTCACTCTTTCACTAGGTATGAACACAGCTGGAATGCAGCAACTATGCTTCCATCCAGAAAGGCAGTTAGAGAGAAGGGCTGGAAGAAAGATCGACAGTATCCACCAGAGTGCATATTGAAATGAAGTGACCAGCAGAAAGAGGACTCCTATTGGATACTAATCTGGTGGCCATTTGATCTTTAGACACCTTCTAGCTTCCAGAATTAGGGGAAATACGTTTCCATTATTTTTAACTTATCCAGTTTATTGCCTATTACACAGTGAGCTGAACAGACTAGACACCATTTATCCAAAATCCACATCAGTCTTTTACTGTAACGCCAGAATGACTGTCCGGGGGCCTTTTAACTTTATCATCCCTTTACTTACAGCAGAAGCCAAATGGAATTCTCTTTTGCCACTCAAAGTTTGATCTCTGTCCAGAACTCTCAATCTTATCAGAAGCTTAGTAGAAATGCCAATATGCAAGATGGCTCATAGCGTATCTCAATTATAATCTGCATTTTAATGAGATCTTTAAGGTTTATGTACTCGTAATAAAGTGTAAATAACTCTAATGTGTACACCTACTCAAACTGGAGAATATATAGCTATCAACCGAGTAAGCTATGTGTTTTCCAATCTGTGACCAAATCATACTGTCTCAAGGCCTCCCAGCTTTTCTTAGAACTGGTATACAATGTAGCTATTCCTCTTTGGATATAGATTTTTGAATTATTACAATCTGCTAAGTCTTCTTATTATATTTGCCGCATAGTCACCTTCCCAGAATGCACTGTGGTTACATAGATGATCCACACCCTTTACTCGTGAGTAGGAGAAACAATTAATTTATTTTCTGTTTTACTAATGGAACTTTTGTAAAGAAAAGTTACATGATGAGTTTTTAAGACTATACAACTAATCACAGACTGAATATACGTACTTAAGGTTCCTAGCCCTTGGTCTACATTGTATTATATACTGTTCTGCCTTTTGCTGACAGAACATACAACGCTGTATTATTTTTCTCCTTTTATGTCAATATTGTCTAATATTAAGATAATTGTGTTTCAGGTTACTATCTGACATGCATGGGAAATAAGATCAGATAGGTAGCATTTAATCAAGTATACCTTGAGAGATATAAAAAACTCAAGTTTTAAAAGTCGTATACATGAAACAATGTATTTATTTATAGCTGTAGATAGGGTAGTGAGGAAATTTCACATGATTAAATACGTCAATCCATGCACCTTTTGGAGGATCATTGCTAGAATGGTTTATTGATACGTGGTGATACCATATAACTTGTCTGTTTCATGGTATTAAACCCACGGTCTTCACTCTGAGCTACATCCAGACCCCATTAAGCAAGAAGGTCTTGTTAAATTGCTCAGACTGGCTGAAACTAGTTGTCCTCTTACCCTCAGCCTCCCAGAGTGCTGGGATTACACGTGTGCTCTACTCTACCTGAGTATGCTGACATCCTTAAACCTTCACAGTTGCTTTATTGAGCATGTCTTGAAATGCTTTCCCTTAATCCTTCCATTAACTTTTTCCTCTTCTCTTTAGATCACTGTAAATGTTTATTATTTCTCTTTCTTCTCCTTATGTTCAAAATACCCTTAAGATTGATCTCCACGGGATGTGGCTTGGGATAAGAAATGGAAGCACACTGAGGGACAGTAAAAGCTTTACTAATATTATAGAACATAAACAACTACTTATTTTAAAAATAAGAGCAGCTTTTGAGATTACTAACAACTAGTCTCTAATTAAGTGGATATATGCTATGATAATATGAGAAGTAAATATATTAACACTTTTTGGCATACAATTACAAGATGAGCATCTGTAGTAGAAAGCAAACTATGCTACTAACACATAATATAAAATTCCACTGAAATACTTTCCTAGAATCTTCTTATTTCTGTTGCTCTTGAAGACTTTAATCATTTGCATAATGTGATGTGCAATATGGAAGTAAATGTTATGCATAAACCCAAATTAGAGATGCAACATGTTGATTGCATGTAGAATTTGGGGACTTGTGTGTTACTGTTTAAAATTTATATGTACCACTTACTATATAACCTTGGAAAAATGAGAGTTCCCTTTCTACCTGTTCTAGAATTACATATTTTAATAATATAAATTCCTGCAACTAGTAAACCTCTTTATTTCAGGAAAATTAGGACAGATGTCCAACCTACTAAATGACTAAGTGTCACATCTTTTGATTGAAATATGAGATGAGATGTGAATATTTCTCTATTCATATTATACCTTAGTAATTATAAATGTCAATTCTCTAAGATGACACACCATGAATATAATAGATTAATTTTAGTTTTAGTGAGACAGAAACTGCCACCCATGGTATGACAAAACAAATAGCAGCAATTGCATTTTGAAACCAAATTTGCTAGCAAAATGAGTGTAGCCTCTATAAGCTCTGGAGCAAAATCAAATTTTAAGAGAAAAATAAAATGCAACCTTGATTTAGTAGTGGTGAAAGGAATCAAGCACTTGAGATATTTCACAGTCTGGAAATCAAATTTTCAGTGTTAAAGAGAAGACTGTTTTGGCAATGCTATTTAGTATCCAGTTGAAACGAAGGAGATTGATGTCGTTTTCCACTGAAAAGAGGTTCATGGAAGGATGCTCCTTAAGCAGAGTAACAGAGGAGTGTTCCTGATATGTTTCCGTATCCTACTTGGTCAGGTTTTAGCAAGAAGATTTAAGGAATGTTGAGAATCCTGATTTCCGAGGAAGATTCCACTTATTGACTTGTTCTTACAATACTGAAATAAGCTCAGTCTGAGCTTTTCTGTGTTAGGGAATCAACCTGAGATCGTGAGTTTATCATTCCTGCCCATGAGAACTTCATGGCTTATAAGCATACTTAAATGGTTAGAATACAATCTGATGCATACAAAAATAGAACTCTGATCAATGTTCTGAGGACCATCCATTGCCCAATGGAGATAGGACAACTTTTAGAGTTTGTGACCTGGAATGGAGTCCTAGATGGTAAAATAGAATTCACCAGGGAGAACAGAATCAGAAGGCAATTCCCGAAAAGGAGGCAGTGTGGCCCAGTGCACAGGGAAGACTGTCATCATCTGGAGAGAGACAAGCTTGCAAAATATTGGTATCAATATCAGACGGAAGGGTAAAAAAGAGTTTGGAGGGACTCAAAACATTATTTGATAGCATTGATACTTCTAGCTTTTCTCCTAGAGATGCTGAAGAAACATCAAAGTTCTTTCAGTAGGATTTGAGAACTTTGAGTTTCTTGTGTTTGAAAACAGTAACTTGGGCAGATGCACGATGGAAGAATTAGCATGGTGAGCTAAGTAGACATAAAGAGCTCAGAAGGAGGAGTTCTGTATTAATCAGCAGAGACATAAAGACAACCACAGCAGACTAGTGACCGTGGACGAAGGAGAAGAGAGCAGGCTTAGACTGGGACTTTCCTATTGAACAATTCCTACTACCCTGCCGAAAGAAGAGTGCAATGAGACAGATTTGTTTGGGCAGCTAGAAAGAATGAGCTTGTAGGTGAAATTTCACCAGCTTAACTATCTCTGTCATATTTGGAGAACCACAAAATGAATCTGTGTCTACCCTCAGTAAGTCTGGGAACCATTTGATTTTGAAAGCCTGGAATTTAAAATAATACTGCTTTCAAAGGGAAAAAATGAGTGCTCTTAGTGTCTATGTTCTACTTGCTTTCCCAGAGGGAAGAAATTCCTCCAGTGAGAATAGGGTTTCAGTTGTCAAGGTGAACTTAGGGTACAGAAATCTTAGGGTGACAGAGTACACTAAAATGGAATGTGGACTTGAAAGTTCAAACAGATTCTTTTTAACTTAGAGGAAGGACTGCTTTTTCACACAGTCTAATGCCTTCCAGGACCCTAAGCGATCTTCAACATTTATCTTG